GTAAAGGCAGGTCGAGAGCACTTTCTTTTGCAGTCGCCTGGTGTACTTTCATACCAGGTTACTGCACAGTTCCTGGTGCCTTGTCTTTCTGCCTTCCCTTGTCAAGTAAATCTCGCCCAATACTCCTTTTCTCTCTATTTTTTTTTTTTTCTCTTGCAGACCCTTCAGCTGTGCTGCCTCTGTTGCATGTCTCGTGCAGCAACTTTAACCAGTGACAGCATCAGTGAATTGAATCATGGTTTGTATGGCTCTTTCTGTGTCTCTGTATTTGAACATTTGCATGGATGCTTTTTCTTTTTGGTGGACTGAGCATTTAAAGGGAAGAAGCCACAGCGTTGGGGAACGTAAAGTGAAGGCAAGTTGGTTGCTGTAATAGCTAACCGTGGGCAGGGATTAACTTGTTAAACCGTGTGTGCAAAAGCTAAAAGGAACAATATGTAAGAGCGCAAAGCAAATGAATGAGATGTTAAATGCATCTGCATTTACATGTGCAATTAGAAGGATGAATGTGTACGTAGCCACAACAACAAAACCTCGTGTGTCTGTTCTGGAAGCAATGAGACAAAAGTAATGAAAAGATTGAGGGTGGGAGAGTGGAAGAAGCCGCGAAATGCAGGCTAAGGGAAAACAAACCTGGAGAGAAAGGACTGGTGTGAGTGAGAGCTCAGGAGCTGTTTGTTCCCAGGGTGCAAGAGACTGACACTTAGATGCTGATGACTTTGGGAAGTCTGAAGTGTGGTACACACTTTTTATTGGGTGCGAGTGGAAACAAAGTACAACAGAGAACCACATCAGGGTGCAGAAAGGAAAACCCTCTTGCACCCCATCATCTGCTCGCTGGGGGATTCCCTCTCTCCAGCAGCTGCTTCCATTTTTTGGCCACCAGCCTGCTTAGCGTCCTCAGCTTCTGCGGTTGATTAACACCACTCGAGGAAAGTGAAAGTTCTTGATGTATTGTTTCCACTGTCTAAGGAAAAATAACCTATCCCTGGTTATGTTTTCAGATTAATGTGTGTACAATAAAGTCTGTTCAGGCAAAGAGATTGATAGGTTTTTGCAACATCTGTTACAACACAAGGAGGGAGTTTTCTTCTTTTTAAAGGGTGTTATTTCAATTTAGGAAGAGAAATGAATTGTTTTACTGTCAAATGCATGGACATCGTTAAGTATTCACAGAAAAATACAGCTCAAAAATGAACTGGGGTTGGGAAGCAGTTTGTTCAGCATAAATTACTCATATAACGAGGAATAGGTGCAGAGGTTCAGCACATGGCTAAAATTCAGACCCAGCTTCCAGGATCCAGGTAATCCCTGTATGGCCAGATCAACAGCAATGGCAATGTACTTCCAGTTAGGCACCTGCTTGTGTAGCTAGCTGAACCATGGCCTCTATTTTTTTCCTTTCTTAGGTGGTTGTGGGTAAATCTGAGTCTTCTCCTCACAAATAACTTTGTAATTTTTCACATATTTTATCCAAAACAATAAACTTCTCTGACATGCAATTAGCAATGGCTGACTAAAGGTTATTAGGTAGGATGTAATCTCTTTCTGCTGAAGGTCAGTTACAATTTGAAACCCAGTCTAATCAAGTCACTACAAAGAGATGAGGTCTCACTCAGTTAAGGCATTAATAAATTAATCCTTTAATCCATTTGAACAAATGGTACAGTTCTACAAAGTCTCAGTCATGGTTACCCCTACAGTGATGCAATATTTGCTGCATTCTTAGGGAAGGAAAAAAAGCTCTCAAACCAGAGTGGCCTTCACATTTGACAGCAATTAATACAGGGGGAGGGGAAAATCTACAGATCTGCTGGTGATGACAAATGTCTTCAGAAGAGCGATTGTGAGAATGTTCACAGCTATGCTAGTTAGTCTGTACCTCTCAGGGGCGCAGAAAGGAAACAAACACTGTTAGAGAGCCTGTGTGACTTACAGGGGTGAGTTTCTGCAGTCAAGCCTGTACACACACAGCCTGCAGAGCTTTCAGGCCCTTCCCTGAACGAGGGAATGCTTCATGCCATAGTGAAAGCCTGATGCTTACCGTGTTAGAGTGGTGCTTATCTTATCTGTTGGATGCAGAAGCTGATGGCTAACTTTTTATCCTTACAGATTATGTATTTGTGACACCTGTCAAAGTGGATTCCAGTGGATCGTACATTTCACATGATGTTTTGCACAGTACTAGGAGAAAGAGATCAACTCAGAGTTCAAAGAGTTCCTTGCACTACAAATTTTCAGCATTTGGACAGGAACTTCACTTAGAACTTAAACCTTCGACCATTTTAAGCAACAGTTTTATTGTCCAGGTACTCGGGAAAGATGGAGTCTCAAATTCTCAGGAACATGAAATTGAGCAGTGTTTCTACCAGGGATTTATAAGGAATGATAGCACCTCTTCGGTAGCAATATCTACATGTGTAGGCTTGGTAAGTGTTTATTTAAAACAAATCAACATTAAAATTATTTTCATACTTGGAATAGTAGCTGAAGGTATGCAATTCATATAATATTCAGGATACCATACAACATTTGGTGATTTTCCTAATAGCACTAGTTGCTATTGCATTTAACAGAAGAGATTTAGTTCTAGTCGATGAACTACATCACATCCTTTGTATTGTTTTATCATAGTCTTTCAGCAAAAAAAGCAAAGACTGGCTGATAGTCCATAGCAATTTTATTTTGTTATAGTTTGTGATAGTTTATACATTTTTGCTTGCTCTTAAGTAAATGCTCTTCCTGTCTTTGTGAACTACTATGAATAAAGAAAAAAAAATTCAATCTGTAAGCTTATGAGAAAAAAATATTATACCTAGGTTTGTCAGTTGCTTTAAGGAAGGGTGAATTTCCTAGCTCAGCAGGAGTTATGAGCCAATTTCCTTTAGTTTCCTTTGATAATTCCAGCCTTATTCAGGTTTATAAGTCTTGATTAGTTGATCTCTTATGAATGTGTTAAGTATTATCATTGCATGTTTTCCACTTATGGCTGTCATCCAAGTTCATGAAAAATTACTGCTCACAAATGATTTTTTGAAAATACATTTGACAGTGCTCACTGCCTGCAGATAGGTCTTTACTGATGTAATTCAGAAGAATCATCTACAGAATTAAGAGTTATTGATGTTTTTTAGGCTTAAGCCCTTGCACTTGCAAAGCAATTTCCTATGGATGGATATTAAAGCAGTGACATTTAATAGTGTTAGGTATACGAAGCTATCTGTGTGTTTTGTCATTGACTAAGGCCCAGAGGATATGTTGGGTCACCCTCTAGAAATCTGTTCTGCAAAGGTACTTGTCCATAAGGGCTGTTATAACTGTGTGGCTGGACCAAAAAGGAGCACTTGAGCCACCCAATGTTTCCTTTGAAATAGTAATCAGTGACTTGAGAAGAGGGTGGTTCATTAGGAAGAGCTGTTGAATACTGTTAAGTGGTTGAAGTAGTCTGGATTATATTTTGAATGCTCTACCTTTTATTCTCAGCAAGTTAGAGGAATTAGTGTTTTACAGTTCATTTGAACAGTTGCAAATGCGACTTTGGATCAGGTGCCAGGAACTGGAATGAGGTTTTCATTTGTTTTTTAAGTTGTGTTTGTAGGGCTGAACTGTTAATTTCGGATATGCTTAGTTGTTTCTGTGGAAGCTTTGTTTTCACAACTGCTAGCTTTTATCATATTTATTCAGAAAAATACTGTTTTCACTTATTGCAGTGTTTGGCTGTTGCTATAAGAGAAATGCTCTACTAACACACAACAGTTACAGTTCGGGTGATACCCCCTGTTTGGTCACATTTTGTTTTTCACATGCTTTATGAGCTGAGTGAAACTAGGCTTGTCAAGTCTTGTCTGAAGAAGGAAGGTTCAAGTCTGCCTCAGGTCACAGAGAAACAGAATGTGGTGATCTTAACTGAGACTGAAATGGATCTTTTACCACTGTCTCGACAGGGATTGTTATGACTGGTAAGCTTCTCTGAGAAAAGATCCAGCAACTGATCAAAAGAGAATAAATATTGTGGCATGAACAAATTTATTAAGGCAGAACCTTTTTCAGTACCTAGATCATCACCAATTAGAATCTCTCTCTTTCTTTAATCAGTTCTAAGGTTCAATAGATTTCACCTTAAATTGTTATTTTTAAATTGGTACATTAAATAAACCTTCACTTATAATCTCCTGCAGAGTAGGTATCACAAATAAAGTATAATTGTTCCTTTCTCCCTATTGATTTATTTCAGTACACCTAATGAATCGCCGGCAAATAAGCAACAGGATTCTTAATCTTCCAGTTTGCAAGGCTGCCTTCTTAAAAATGTGTCGTCAGCTGTCTGTAATGACAACCACGTCATTTTTTTACTGTGATCCAAATTCAGTAATCATATGTTAAGGCTGGACGCTGTGCTCTGATCAAGGGAGCCTTGTGAATAGCTTCTGTATCCTCTTTGCACCAACTACTTTTGTCACTTGGTTGCCCTTCTTTCCTATTTGCTTTGTTCACTGCAATTAAACCGAAAGTGGTGTTTCTTCTATATGGTTGGTAGCACTAATCTTTCCATTGTTCCTTTCATTAGCAATAGCTTCTCTACAATAAAACTGCAGTGACCCATTCTTTCAAGCTTGGAACACCACAATGTGATTTGGAAGCAATTGCATTTCAATAGACTACAGGGACTCTTTGATCTAATTTTTTGGATGACCTAGAGTATTCAGTCATTCAGCTGTCTGTTATCTGCCATTGCCTGCAGAGTAGACTTTTGAGGGAGTCTATATGAAGTGGTTTGTTATGCAGGATGACCTTAACACTGGAAAGGAGCAAGAATTTGTTGATTTGGTGTAGATCTATTACGAGATATGTGTATCTTACTCATGTTTTAATAGCTTAGTTTACAGTAAGGCCCCACATTTTTATGCTGATTTGTTGATTTGAGAACAGTTTCCATCAGTCAACACAATTTTCTTGTTATGTCACAAATCAAAACTGGATCTGTGCTCTTTATCTGAGTAAGTCCTTTAATACATCAAGCTAGCATTTTAGGAGAATGTGTATAAATTTACTATGAGTACTGTCTCTTGCCTTTTCATCATTAAAGTGTAGGTGCTTTGATTTTTGAACAACTTGCTTTCTTCTGTCCTTCTTCAGTCAGCATCCTTTACTTGCTGGAGCATCTGTTATGCAGCAAGAAAGCTGTGATTTTATTTTTTTTTTTTTAAATGAAATTAACTTGTATACAAGAAATCTTGTTTAGATCTTCCTACGTGTCTGTTTCACCATGTGGTGTTGAGTAGAAGCATCATACTTACTTAGCAATAAAAGAGTATAACAGATTTATTAAAATTCAGACTTATGTTATACATCACACCTATTTGCTCAGTCATTTTATCAAAAATGCTTAAAAGATTGATGTTCTTTGTAAACCTTCAGAAAAGTGTGTTCTGGACTATCAGTGGAGAATATGATACATTCCCTCCAAAGAAGTTGGAATAATTTTTTTCATTTCCATATATTTTTGTAAATACATTCTTGATTTCAGAGCTGGTTTTCTTTAATTCTTACAACTTTGGGTCAATGAGTTTATTTATGTTAGTAAATACAAAACTAGTTTCTCTCTTTGGTGTCATCTTAATGTGTCCCAAATAGAAATTAATGCAAAATTTTCGACTCCTTTCTCCACTGATATTCGTTATTACTTTTAATAAAACTCTTCTGTTACTCCAGCATGACTTCTTGAAGCTTCCTTCAATCCCTTGTGCTATTCCAATTGACATATCTAGACCACTGGTTTGTCTTACTGCTTCATCCTCTGTTTATGTTCTCCAATTCAAGCTGTTCGTTCTTCCCAAATTCAGGGTTTTTTTTCCAAACTCCTAACTAGAGCTAATTCTTACTTATTCTTATTATATTTTTATTATTATTATTTAGTAATATATTATTACTTATAATTGCCTTTAGCTATCAAAATGGGAGGCAGATTATGCCAAATCCACAGAATGCAGGGGTTTTTCAGTTTTTCTGAAGGAGATGGTGCTGGCCACTGCTAGAATAAGAAATTGTTTTTAGGATTTACTCAGTGTGGCCGTATCTGTATTCCTACCTCATTCCTCTTGCCCACCCTCATCCACTGTTGTGCTTTGTCATCTGCATTAACTTTAACTCCGCTTTCATGATAGCGTATCTAAAAGCCTTACTACTGTCTTCCTAGTCTGTGTATGAACTGTCTATTGTTTGTCTCTCTTTATATGCTAGTTTTGGTCTCCTTTCTGTCTCCTTATGTACTGCTACTGTTAGGTGTATGTGTACATAATCTCTTGTATAAAGTGAGTTGTTTGCAGTCACACAGTAAATCAGTGCAGAATGCATGAGAACCCCAGAGGTGTCAGTAGTCCAGTTGTGTTCTAGAGACATTCTTACAAGTAATTTATAACTGTGCATTTAGGAGCAGAAGTCACATTGCCCTTGTGAACCAGAACTCTCTCTTACAAAGTCAAACAAGTTTACACTATAGTCCAGTACACAACGTAGAAAACGGTGAACGTAATGAATGAGTAGTTTATTATATAGCATCTGTGGGGATGTTGCTGCTATTTGGTGGAAGAGACAGGTGAGGGTGTACAGCAAGTATAAAACGTGTGCCCAGAGGAGAGGAGCATATGTACAATGTAAAGGAGCTCTCCTACTAGTACATCACAGAGAAGACATGCATGTGTATTTTGAGTCAGAAGGAAATGCAGTACAGTTCAGTGGAACAGTTCCAGTCCTTTATATGATACAGTTTTATTGTTCAGGCCAAATTCAGCCCTAAGCAAAGGTACCAGCAAGGAGGCCTGAGAGGCTGCACCTGCATACACTGGAGGTGAATGTGAGCTGTTCTCTCCTGATTATTTATGTACCTCAATTAGAAGAGTGGAGTCAGCTTCATGCACTAGCTAGTGCCCTCCTCTGTTTTTGATAAGATGTGATTGAATCTTTCATTATAAGGGGCCTCTTTCTCTTGTCTCAAATTCTGTTATGTTAGTGTCTAGTCAAGGGAAGAGGAGGGAAGGATGAATCATGTTACACTCACTGAGCTGTCAGACGAGTCTACGGCTGGAGAAAGGCTGAGATGTAACACTGAGAGATAAACAGGAGATGTATTAATTCAATGGAAGTTGTGTGTGCATGTCTGAGGGCAGGACTTTGCTCAAAGTATCAAAGCAGCCACAAAATTAAAGCTTCTTAACACAGTCTGGCCACCTAAGAGGTAGGCAGGCAAGGCAACTCATGTACCCATTCTTTGTAGTCATTTAATTGCACGCTGTATTAGCATTATCTAAGTTCATGCTAACAACAGCCTCTTATTCCTAGAGCTCACACTTTAAGTCCAATTAAATATGTTGAGACAAATCCTAAGGTTCTTATGCAGACAAACTCCTGTCAAAATCAGTGAGCCAGACTG